CCGAAGGAGACTGTCTGAGCGCTCCGTGCCCTGTCCATGGATGTATTATATTAACTGGATAGGGTATTACTAGCTTGTAGCTGAATAACTCATGTGCTCAGGGGATTCTCGCGGTACTGCAGACTGAACCAGACTAAATTCACGTGGGCTACCCAGAAATTTTCCCCATAGAACTCAATGCATATTAAAACAGCTCAACCTCAGCTGACAGAGAACCTACAGCTTTAATAAAGATTGGATTTTGTGGGGATTTTAGTGTCCCTTGTTATCCTGAACTTTTTTTCTTCTTAAATCTTTCGGTTTTGTTTAAATCCACACTTTAGTGCCACAAACTCTGCTCCTCTGGCTCTCGCTCTAACTCCCGCTCTGATGAACTGCTCTGATTGGTCAGAGCGCGGCCGAGCCCCTCTGTGCACGTGCGTGAGACCCGGTGTGAGACCCACACACGCGTGTTTGGCGCAACGCATTATGGGAGATCATCTACTGCGCAGAACCGGGAGGACCAGACGATGCCCAAATACAGGCGAGTTTCCCATAGATCTTTGCGAGTTTCAGGCAACTTCCGCTAATCTTTCAGCCCCCATGCTGTCACAAAGCGCCACTGAGCACAACCATTCATTTGAATAGGGCGCCATCTTGGATCGCCGGGGCTTGGCCCTGTCCCACACATGGATCTATGATAATAACTCTGTCCCACAACTTACTGACAGCAGCATGTGGATAAACCATGGATCTATAATAACCACGGGGCAAACAGACGCTGAGGATCAGGTAGGAACCAAAGAACACAATTCACTACATGATGCGGAATATTGCTCTTTGAGACGTGAGTCAAACAGTGTCAGGCTTTTAATAATGCAAATGGTTTGAAGATGCTGCCATTAACATCAATGTATACTGTGAACAGTTTTAACTCCATAAGCCTGTTGCACAGCGTCTCCTCACTGCTCCAGGTCTGCCCACGGCTCATTGTTGTTGTGTAGCGTTAGCAGCATAGTTAGCACAAGCCCCGGCGATCCAAGATGGCGCCCTATTCAAATGAATGGTTGTGCTCAGTGGCGCTTTGTGACAGCATGGGGACTGAAAGATTAGCGGAAGTTGCCTGAAACTCGCAAAGATCTATGGGAAACTCGCCTGTATTTGGGCATCGTCTGGTCCTCCCGGTTCTGCGCAGTGGATGATCTCCCATGATGCGTTGCGCCAAACACGCGTGTGTGGGTCTCACACCGGGTCTCACGCACGTGCACAGAGGGGCTCGGCCGCGCTCTGACCAATCAGAGCAGTTCATCAGAGCGGGAGTTAGAGCGAGAGCCAGAGGAGCAGAGTTTGTGGCACTAAAGTGTGGATTTAAACAAAACCGAAGGATTTAAGAAGAAAAAAAGTTCAGGATGACAAGGGACACTAAAATCCCCACAAAATCCAATCTTTATGAAAGCTGTAGGTTCTCTGTCAGCTGAGGTTGAGCTGTTTTAATATGCATTGAGTTCTATGGGGAAAATTTCTGGGTAGCCCACGTGAATTTAGTCTGGTTTAGTCTGCAGTACCGCGAGAATCCCCTGAGCACATGAGCTATTCAGCTACAAGCTAGTAATACCCTATCCAGTTAATATAATACATCCATGAGTTAGCATCATAGTTAGCAGCATAGTTAGCCGCTGCGTGGCTAATTCCTCAGTTTCTGTCTGCGGCTTGTTAAGCCCAAAAAATGCGCACGTATCTTGGAGTTGTGTCGGATCGACACCGGATGTATTCAGACCTGATTCGACTTGGACCAGAATTCGTTTGGAAGCGGACCGAGACCACCTCAAAAAGTGGGTCTCGGTTCAGTTCTTTGGTCCGGACCAGGATTCGTTTGTGTGTATTCAGACCTGCATAAAAGATTCGGATCAGAGTTCCAAACGAATCCTGGTTCGTTTAAAGTGGAGCAAATGTGCAGGTCTGAATACACCCTGACTAATATGACTGTCGAATGAGCTTGTATTGTTATGTTCATGGCATTTATAAAACTAAAACGGATTAGTACAAACAATGTGTAAGTTGGTCTGTGAGCTGATGAGTTTTAATAAAGACTGTGTTTAATGAACTTATACTGTTATGTTTATGGTATGTATAAAACTAATCTTTATTGAGTTTCCTCACGAAAAAATAGTTTTCGCCACTATTCGGGTTTACAGTGTGCGGCACGGCACGGTGGCTGAGTGGATAGCACTCTCGCTTCTTGGCAAGAAGGTCCTGGGTTCGAATCCCGGTCGGACGAGGGCCTTTCTGAGTGGAATTTGCATATTGTCCTTATCTGCATAGGTTTCCTCCTGGTGCTCTGGTTTCCCCTACCCGAGTGACCTTGGTCTGTAAAAGTGCAATATAAATACACATGAGGATGAAACAGGACGATTTAATGTGGGGGGTAATTTAAACTCAAAATAGTAAGTTTTTGCAAGGGACGGTAATATAAACTTAAAAAAGTAAGTTTTTACAGACTTGAACATTTTGAGTTGTCCTAACTTTTTCTTTTTTCCAATGTAGACAGGTGCCCAGGGTCTAAATACACACAGGGACATAGCGGTATAACACATCAGGGCGGAGCAAGCAATCGACAGGACAGACGAGATGTAAAACTCATACAACTAAAGAACGAATATATAGCTGCAAAAAACAGGTAAAAAATGTATTAACAAAACCGATTAAAGCTATTGTTTTGTCATATTTATGTCAGATATTTCTAGTCAGAAATGTCTTCCAAATGAAAAAAATCTTCATTTATATTTGAGGAGACAAGGTAGGCTGCACCTGAACACCATCCAACAAGACCACCCAGGTGAAAAAAAAATATACTTAGTATACTGAAATTTAGCATACTAAATATATTTCAGAAATAACAGTCAAATAAACTTTAAGTGTGCTATTTTGAAACAACTTATTTTGTGCTTAATAGATTTAAGTTGAATTTAAATAGAACTTAAAGTAGAAAGTATACTTAATATACTAATGTGTACTAAAGTGGAACAACTTTAAGTGCACTTATTATACTTTAAGTATACTTGATTTTTGGGTATTTAATTCATGATTGAGTAATACATTTCAATGCAATTTCAAGTATATTCATAACATACTCTCAGTTAACTTACAGTATATTTTCAATTAACTTACAGTATATATAAAAATATATTTAAAACATATTTTTTCTGTATTATACAGATAAAAACAAATCATTGATACAATGCAACATAAACTTTATTATGCGCTTGCACATAAAATTTGCAACAACAGTGTTTCTTTACAAAAATAGTTGTTTACTATTTACTCAATTTACTCAAATAAAATGCATATTAACAAAACAAAAAAATCTTATATACATCTCACGTCCAAGTTGTCGACCGCATCCAGTCCCTGTCTATCGCCAGTAATTCCTGGAGGAAGTTTCTGATCAGTTTCAAGTTCTCTGCTGTCGACCAAATGCCTCAAGTAAAGGACACACTCCTCTTGTTTAAGCTCCTCAGGGTGACAAGTGTGTGAGCGAGTGTCTGTTTTTGTGAAAAAAAACCCCCAAACAAACACAGTCCGGCTCTTGCGTCAAATCAACTTGAAAACACCGACTGGACAGAACTCATTAATAGCTTTAAATTGAGGTATGACATGGCATCTGCCTCCTACATGTCAAAGACAAACTACTTAAAACCATCAACTATTGTCTTTGAACTTATTCCAACTGGGGTAGAATTCAATATTTATAGGGAGAATGGTCGTAAAATAGTAAGGAAAATAGTAAGGAATATGATGTGTTTTTAACATTGATTTGACATGAGAGTCTAATGCTTTTTCACAAAAACAGACACTCGCTCACACTTGTCACTTTGAGGAGCATGAACAAGAGGTGTGTGCTTTACTTGAGGCATATAGTCAACAGCAGAGAACTTGAAACGGACCTAAACGACCTCCAAGTTTAGCCTGAATCACCAGCGAAACACAGGCACCGGATGCGGTCGGCTCATGTCGCCGTTTCTCCCCGGAACTAGCTAACATACACACAGTGTATACATAAAATAATTACTTAAAAGTATTCATTCCTTCTTTTGGCAGAACTGCTCATTTTTTCACTTCCGTCTTAGTGCTGCACGAACCTCGGAAACTGCATCTGCCAAAAAAAATACAAAAAAAAAAAATTCAAATCCGTTTTGTAAATATAGTAAGTAATGTTTATATATATAAAGTGCATTTTACAGACCAAGGTCATCCAAAGCGCTTTACAATGATGGTGATGACGGAGGCAAGTTGCCGAACACACTGGCGCATCAGCTCCAATCAACACCATTCACTCTCTCATTTACATTCATACCTATTGTGCAAAAGATCTGAGACTTGAATCAGATTTGGTCACTCACCTGTTATGGGTTGCACTTTTGTAGCATCAAGTTGATGCCTCATCCTTTCCCTTCTTCCTGATTTTCCAGTTCGGGCTGATGTTGCCAATATCTCCCTCGTGAAAACAAGGACAGCTAATTCCTGTGTGAAAAACATGCAAATTTGATTCAGGAAAAGCCATTTTTGAAACGCTAACATTGTTTCCAGGCAAGAAGTGCTGTGGGATGACATAAAAGTGAGCAGTAACCCTAACCCTCCACACACTCCTTGATTAATTTTAAGGTTTCAGGCAGTTCTTCAAAAATAAAAAGTAAATTAAATTTTAATGCAATTGTAAACCGCTTTGAAACTCAGATCTGCAGTTAAAAGGCGGTATATAAATAAAGATTACTTACTTGCAAACATTATGAACAATATAGGTTAAATTTTGATAAGCCACTAAACTTACCACGAAGACATGAAATTATCTCTTCCATGGTAGGCGCTGCAGTATAACTGGGAATGAATCCATTTGCCTCCCTCACAACTGAAGCCACACAATCAACATTTTCCTCCTGTTAAGTATAACACATGTTGTAAATGATGTATGTATGTCAAAATACATACATGGTCTGAATGATGTGGGCTCTATGTGGGTTTCATCAGAACTGCTTGCTTGTGGGGAGAATTGTTGAGGCCATACACATAGCCTTCTCTTCTTTGACTGAGAATAAAGAAAATGGATATACTTTATAATACCACAGGTCAGTATATTGAATCATTAACATCACAACAAATTAGACTTACCATGCGGACAGGTGACAAACACTCCTCTGAACTGCTGCCAAACAGATCCTCAGATTGTTCAAGATTTCTTTTTTAAGAAAGTGTTTTTTTTGTCCCTCAATTACGTTTCTTGTACTTGCAGTCTCTCTATTTTTTGGAGCTTTTTCTTTGCCTAGAAAACAATGTATGGAAAGAGTTTAATATTTTCAATGCAAAGCATAGGTTTAAAACCCGAGTAGGGTTTTCATTACAAGTTAATATAGCCCAACTTTAAAAATAAAAAGCATACGTTTGATAGACCCAAACATAACATTAGCAAAAGCAAACATACCCTGTTCTGTATGTCTCACCTGACAAGATGTTTCTTCAGACCAGTCGCCATTTGCAGCGACACACGTGTCATCTATGGCCCAAATATTTTACCCAGGAGGAAAAAAAAAACAAGTTCTTGAAATACATCTGAAAAGGAACGATCGGTGGGGCATAAATATTTCATCGTGAAATAAAATTAACCTAGCAAGCTTAAGCTAACTTCAAATAGCAGCACTTTAGCAGCCTCTGTCCTGCTGGGTTCCTTTCGTGACCCACACTTAATTTCTATCCAATTGTCGTCGTCTAAATCGGGCTGGGAGGTTACCTGCTTGAATCTTCCTGAACTCTTTAGAATTATTCCGGTGTTCTCCACTTTCAAGCTGTTATTGTGCAGGTAAAAATCGCGAGCATGAAGGACGTCATCCTTAGCTGCTGTTTTTCTTCAAATGAGGACTACATGCGCAAGAGCAAGACCAACTGTTCTGATTGGCTGATAGTTACAAAGCTGCAATGAATGCAGCACCTGATTGGACAATCATATTTTAGGCGCGGATCATTGGAGCGGATGCCTCCATAGTTAGCAGCTATTCATTCTGGTTTAGTTTATGATCGTTTCACACATGCTAGGGTTTTGTATCATTCATATTATAACACAACTCTTAAAAAAAGAAATAACTCTGTTGTACAGCTGAATGATGAAAGGTTTTGTGAAATTTTAACACTAATAGATTTTACATCTGAAAATGGATTGTCAGGTCAAGCTTCTGTTTTAGTTAAAGCTGAGTAAAACTGATCATGTTTGGAGAGACAGCTGAAGATATCTTCTACATTTATTACTGAAGTGTTAAGAACCAGCAATGTATTTGCTGTTGATCCTTGAATGTTTGGATCCTTGTATCTTTTTTGCCAGATTAACAACATATTAATAGTTTATTTTAGTCTTAGTGTAAATGAAAAAAAAAAAAAAAAAAAATAATATATATATATTTTCTATCTTACTATATATATATATATATATATATATATATATATAAAGTATATATATTTAAAAACTTTGATTGATTGATTGATTGATTCTTGTACAACAATCACTGAGGAAATGGTACAAAAGCAACGCACTGCTAACAAAATATATAACTGAAATATTACCGCTAGTTCCGTGACCGAATGTAGTCTGAGCATACAGATAGTCCGAGGCGGTCCCGCAGGTCTCTCTCATAGACAAGTCTCTCCAGAGGATACGATGTAAGCTAGCTATGTTCACCCAGGCTTGATTTCTTCTTTGATAATTTTTTTGCTTTAGTTCCCTCTTCTCTTTGGCCTTTTTTGCTGTGTCTGCAGTAACAGCGAGAGGAGTTATAGCCAATTCTGCTAACATGCTACTGTGGAAGAAGTAAAACAGGAGACGACGAGCTGAGTCTCACTGCACTTTATTTTCAACATATGACACACACAGGTGGCAACACTCCCCTCTTATCAGCTATTCCCGGAACCCCAGCTCCTTCACAATAATACATTTGTGTGTGCGTCCACCAGCCACCACACTACTGTGTTTAGCAGCGCTCGTTCTGTGATTGGAGGAGAGAGGGCGTTAACGGAGCCCGTGGAGAGTAGCGCCACAACATTTGCTAAACCTTACCCTTGCTCCGGCTTCAATTTCTTGATAGAACCAGACCGGATTACTTTACTATCACATTTTTTGCCATTACCAAACTACAACCTGCCCGTTCGACGCAAACTCTTGACATCACCCATAACTAATTACAACACCCGTCTTCCACGCTGTCTGATTGGTCGGTCGAAATTCAACCGATTGTAATCGCTAACACAGGGACCAGACCCCGACGTTACATGCAGTGAAATGATGATTGAATGGAGTGTACGGATGGCTAAGGCCAGGCTAGCGGCAAAGGAGATGGCTGGGCTAAATGCTAACGACTCACTTGGGCACACATACGTCACGGTAAACTCAGATCCAATCGTTTCAATCTGCAAAAGGAGTTAGCCCCTCCCATCTGTAAACGGAGCTCAATGGAGCGCCTCCAGACCTTAGTACGAAATGTCATTTGTACTATGGTGTGGTACGACCAGGTTAGGAGGAATGTGGTATGTGCCAGAAGTCTCTGATGTTAGCGAGGAAGGAGCTAAAAACAACTCCAGGTCTGTTTTTTTTTTTTTTTTTTGCATGGTTTATAACTCAAAAAAGACGACAATTATGCAGAATATGTCCTCTTTCAATATTATTTTATGCATTTTTTTATTTATTATGTTAACGGCCACAGCAGCGTAGAAGTGAGTAGCACAACAAGAAGGTTCAACTAGATCTGAGCATGTTTGCATTTGTCTACTGTACCTGTGTCTGTGTGGGGTTCCTCCAGGTGCTACGGTTTCCCCCACCACCCAAATCCTCCAGCAAGAATAGTCATGACCAAAGCTGAGGATCAACATGGACGATAAGTCAAATTACTAGTTTATAGTTTCAATAAATAAACTATAAAAGTATAAAAAAGAGACTATAAAAGTATACCTTCTATAATTGAGACATTGTTATTCCTTTGATGAATCACTAGATAAACCATTTCAACTCTTTCCCACCACTTGAATTACCATCGTACATCTATAAATACTCCTTCTGTATTAGCTCAGCTGTCCAACACAACTGTGCACATCTGACCTGAATCATTTCCTTTATTTCGCCTAACAATAACAATTGAATGCTGTTTTCTTTCCCCTCCTTTTCAACAGTATTGTTAGAGACATAATTGAATTTTCTATTCTTGAAACTCACAATGCCTAAATCTTCCATAACCACTACGTCATACAAGGAAAACTAAAACTGATAATGGTGTGTTTCTTATTCAGAGATGGGCTGTGAGACACTGATAACGAATAGAGCCATAATAATATCTCAGCTGTGTATAAATGCATTTGAATCACAATAGGATGCACAATAGGTTTTGCAAATTTAAAATCATATATATTTGGGCTGGCAATAGTTTTGTGATTGATCTGTCACTCCAATATTCCATTTGCAAATATAATTGTCTGGGTGGGTCGGTTAAAGCTTTAATATGTAAAATTCAATTAAGCCCCACTGTGTTATCAGCTTTCCATTAATGTTGTCTTCAACTATTGCTTTGTTTTATGTTGCCGCACAGAGAGCTAATGATCACAGCACAAAACTTATGAAAGCACAAACTTGGAAGCGTACAAAGCAAAGGATATTAAGCAATACGTTTTATCAGCAGCCGGCAGAAGGAGAACCTAGTTTGAATAATAATAATAGCATTAAAAAAGCTAAGCTCACAAGCACATAGGCTTTGCTAACGGCCTTGGGACAGTCAGACGAGGTTAAAAACAAAAGCTATAGTCAACAGAAAAACCTACTTTGTTTATAGAGGAAGGATCAAAAATGACATAGGCATTGAGAACTGAAAAAAGACCTCTCCAAGATGGATTTTGAAACCCATTGGCATGGCTGGACTGGCCATCGGGCGTACCGGGCAATGCCCGAAGGGCCGATGCCCATATTTGGGCCGGCCTGTCTGCCTCATACAAAAAACATGTTTGTGAAAAGTGTAAATCCGTTGAGAAATGTTCAAAGGGGGCCCGCGTGTCCTTGGGCACCTTCTGTATGTACTCGAACGGGATTCCACCACTTGTGGCAGCTGCGGCCACTTTGTAATGAGCGGTTCCCGCATCCAGCGGCTCTGAGTTGGACGTGGGAACCGCTCACAACACGGTGAGCACGTAGCCGCAACTTGACCACATACCCAAGACCATAAACATGACCATGCGTGTCTTTGAGTAATCTATGCACCCAAAAAATACGCCGCTGCAGAAAACAGTCCGCGTCTCCCCTCTCCGCGACTAAAAACCCTAAATTAAAGCTCAAGTACCTAAATTTTCGATTGCATTAAAAGTTCATGTTTGTGCCCAAAAGTAAAAGGTTGTGAACAAATCAAATAGATTTAGTGACAGCCAATGGCTGACATTATGCCTTTCAGACATTTTTGACCAATTCTCATCCCTGTAACAAACAATAGTGTTGTCTGTGTCCACCTCCCTCACTCTGAGACAAGTTTATTACTCTCTTGTGATGTAGACTATTGCACTTCATTTTATTGTTGAAACTACATACATCCTGATTCTCTACAGTATTTGCTTCCACATACTGTATAAACCAGGGGTCGGCAACCTGTGGCTCCGGAGCTGCATGCGGCTCTTTAGTGCTCCTACAGTGGCTCCTGGAGCCTTTTCAAAAATGTCTGAAAATGGAGTGGGAGGGCCATATTTTATTTCTAGTTTGAATGTGGTTTCTGTAGAAGGAAAAACATTCTTAACGTTTTTAAATGCTGCAAAAACGTGCATAAGTAATATTCAATTTCAACATTTCTGTCAACGTAGTACGTCAATGTGGCGTGGTCGCACGCCAGGCGGCTGCTCTTGTAAACAAACCGGCGTGTGCCCATGGATCCCAAAGCTAAAAAAGAGAAAGAGTCGATAATAAGACTGGAGTAAGAACGAGAATGAACATTTGCTTTCAGTCAATGAGGAAGGACTGCTTCACATTTGCGATGTAATGAAAAGTTTTGTTGCAACACGAGGAACAATGAAGCTTTAAACACCGTTCACTGAAGGATTCCTTCATCGCAAATTCAAAGCACCTACTTTCAGACTTCAAAAACCTCCACAAAGACGGTAAAAGAAAGGGCCATTAACTCATTGACCGCAATTGACGTG